GAACATAGCAGTTTATTTTTTCTTATTAATATATTAAAATTTATAGCCATTATACAGGTGTTATAAAAATTTAAATCAATACCGTGAACTACTATTTTCACCCAACAAAAATTTTTTGAGACCTGAATTACTGCTCTTATTACCTGGTTACACTGCTTTTTGCTGTTAGTTCAGTTGTGTGTGCTAACCAACAAGGAGGTTATGTACTGTAAAGTTTTGTTAAAAAAATATATGTTATATACGTTTCTGGTAAAGTTTGGCCCGTCCATTCGGTTATGGATTTTTTTGGTATGTAGTAACGTATTTACTTTGCCACCATAGCTCATAATTAATGCCATGGGGACTTATTTTGGTAGTAGTTATAAATTAATATGTAACTTTTAAAACCACGACGTAGCATGATTTTAAAAATGATTCGTCAATACCGTGATCGTCATTACTGTGAACTTGTTGTTCACAGAATTTGTATTTTTTCGGTGTTTAATACAAACACTTTTGTCTGGCATTATTCAGAGTCTGGTCATGGAAAAGGACGCCAGACGGTGTAGGTGGCTACTTAAAAAGACATAATGATCGACGAGTGGTTTTAGGGAATGACATTCCAGACCATCAAACTTAGATATTATTTTTTGAACAAAATTGAAAATAACTTTTGGAAAAAAATGACCTCATGGTTAGGTTAATGCCAATAAATGATGTAGGATGTATCATTAGGCCAATAGAGAACATCTTCTTTTTCAGAATAGCTTTACAAAACCTATCAAGGCATGATGAAAGTTCATCAAATTGTTTGGGCAAAAGAAAACCCAGATTATCTTCAAGCCAGGCGACTGAGTTGTTTGGAATATCATTCAGACATCACTTGTCGTCATTTTAGGTTGGAATAAATGTAATCACCAATACAATCATTACATGCAACACAGAAAATGAGCCCCCAGTATATCATGCTCTAAATTACGTGTCGATGAAATTTAGTCTGATAGGTAAAACAAAATTAGGCCTCTGAGACAAAACAGGGTAAATTTTTTGGCTGTTGAATATATATACCCAGAACATTATAAGAGAGTTCGCACATTTTTATCATATGATGACTTCAGTGATTCTTATAATTATGTATCACAGAAATGACGTTCCTACTAAATATCATTTCCGTGGACATGAATGTTTGCTTTTTTTATTGTCTTTTAAAATTATTGATCAAAATAATGTTTCATAATTTATGTTATGTTGGTTTAATGGTTTTCGGTAGAACATTTATTATTATCATAACTGTATTAATTCTTAAGTTGTGATCACTTAGATCATTTCAGTGAAAACGTGTGTCAATTCTGTGAGACTTAAAAAATGATTTTTCATGTTTTTACGTATTAAACGTAATGAAAATTCTGTTTTCTGTTGTGATTATGGTATTTGATTATATTTTGCAAAAAATAAATGTTTGAAACCCAAAAAATTCTCACTGGTGCCAATTCTGGCGTGATTCTCTAAACTTAAAACTAAATTTAACATCAGTCTCTCCTTTTCATTCTGTATAGAAAATGACAAGGATATACTGCTGTCAAATTAAGGTTTAGGTTTAGAGAATCATGCTAGAATCGACGCCACTTTAATTTTTGTGATTTAAAAAAGGCCATTTCGTATAATGACCCTTTAACGCGAGTGTAGGTAGATTACTCGTTTGTCTCGTTTTTCATCCTAACCACTTATTTATATATTATTCCAGATATTTTGCCCGATGGAAAAACCGAAATACCTAAATATTAGAAACAAATTACGTACTAGTAGATAGGTATATAAAAATATTCTATAAAGGTAAGACACCTTTCCAATATTTCAGGTAATTTAAAAAATTATATCTCTGGGTGTGTCATTGAAAAGAGTTCAAGCAACCAAAAACAGCAATTGTGCTGTTGTACGATATTGATCGTCGTTTGTTCTTTTCCATACTAAATTATGTAGGTATCTACTTAATTAAATCAAATATTTACAATACAAAACGCACGTTTAAGCACGGCTAACTGCATAAAAAACAATTCAGACCGTTCGGTCGTCGTTGCGGCGCGGCGGCGCATTCGCGACTGGGTGCCCGCCGAGAGCACATCGAACTCGAGTGGCGTAGGTATGACTCGCTTTCCGACCGTTTGTATGAAGATAGAATACTGTATGATATTATTACCGTGGCTAAGTGAAGTGCTTAATAGCTCAATTATTACACTTGGTCGTTAGCCCGTATTCGGATACACGAAAGACATTACTCGAAATCGGGCACTCATAGCAATATTTTCAATGGAATACGGGCTGGAAGACGGTGTCGAGAAACCGAAACGAAAGCTACCCGAATACGGGCGCACAGTGTGTTATGAGACCTTAAAATCGGACATTCTCATTTAATTGATGAATCGTTTAGAGCTCAATTATGCAAATATGATAGAAAAATTCCACTTAGTTTTCGAGATATAAAAATTCAAAAGTTAGTTATTTTTTTCTTTTTAAAAAATGAAATACAGTCTTACTCGTAAACTAATAACATTTAATTTAGAGCCGTTATAATACTTCATAGAACTCTTAAAACTACACGTAATAAGCGTTTAAAGTGTTTTGTATATGCTTACAGTTAAATAAAAAAGAAACTTTTTGTTATTTTTGTTTTTATTTTTTTTCTCCATTATACCATAATATATGCAAACTTTTTTAATCGCAAGATATAGTCTGATATTTATTCTAGTTGTATAAAAAAATCAGCATTAAATTTCGTGATATATTTGAGAAAAAACAAATTGAAAATATGCACCAGGGCTGTCACATAGAATTGTAAATTTCTTATAACATTTTAAAAGCAATATTTCTTTTGGAGGTTTAAATCTTTTATTAAAATCACACATATTAAAATTGGATCTTGTGTTTGATTATAGACAATGCCATAGAGGACAAGTTCGAATGTCGGTGGAAAATACTTTAGCCCAGTAAAATTAGCTATTAACCTTGGAATAGGAAGCGAGACATTTATGAAAAACCCATTCTCATAAATATCTCGCTCCCTATTCCTATCTTTTCCCGTTCGACCTTAAATAACTTAAGACGCAGAAACAAGATCTTTTAGGATTATAAGATTTATGAGGTAACCTTTAAAATGTCAAAACATAGATTTATAAAAAATATCAGCTTATTATCTTCCTTCCCGAGATTTGATCCTCTTTTTGAGCTAATTTTATTGGATCTCAAAAAGCTTAATCTATTGATCGATATTAGTTTTTTTCTTATGAAGGAAAATAAATGGGAGCGGGAAGGGGTCCACCCTCTTTAGGTATTTAATTTACCAAAACGAATGAAGACGATGTCGATATTATAGAACAATGTATCGAAGATCAGGTCGAAGACCCACGTGATGATACAACAGTCCTATCATGTGAAAATAACATTTTTATCGACTGAAAATAAATTTACATTAATATAAAATAAAAATTAAAAAACAACTGCAGGCGCCGAATATGAATTTTTAGACCTTTAAATACTATGAATATAACAGGTGGGATTCAATAAGTATTTTTATTTGTAACTTTTTAGACATAAATTTATCCCTTCTAAATGTGTCAACCCTAGACGCGTAAAAATTTTGTGAATAGGTTTAATTTTTTTTCTCAAATATACCACGGAATTTAAAGCTGATTTTTTTATACAACTAGAATATATATCAGACTATATCTTGCGATTGAAAAAGTCTGCATATATTATGGTATAATGAAGAAAAAAATAAAAACAAAAATAACAAAAATCTTTTTTTCTAATTAACTGCAAGCGTTTACGAAGCACTTACAACGCTTATTACGTGTAGATTAAAGAGTTCTATGAAGTACTGTAACGTTTCTAAATAAAATGTTATTAATTACAGAGTATGATTGCTTTTTCATTTTTAAAAAAGAAAAAAAATATCATTTTTCAATTTTTATATCGCAAACACTACGTGGAATTTTCAAACGGGAGTTTTACTCTCATATTTGTATAAATGAGCTCTAAAGAGTTCATCAAATAAATAAGAATGTCCGATTTTACGGTCTCATAACATACTGTGGGGCGTACTCGCCTCCGTTCATTTACACTTTATACGCATTCCATTAACAATCGCCAATAAGATAAGACTTTTTTGTCCAATTTACACGACCGTCTTAAAATTATAGTTGGCAACACTGTTACTAGATTCGTAATCGTAATCTGTGGATTCCGACTTCACTTTAGGGATGTGTTTTTGATACGAAAAGTAGATTTTTCCAATTAATCGATTGTAGAATATCTCACATTATTTATAAATGCGAAAAAATAACTTTTTATCAATTTATTTGTCATTTCTCTACATTATTTACTAGTTAAACCGTATTAGATAAATAAGAAAATCTTTTTTAAAGAATACAAATTTTATTAAGAATCAAACAAATCTACTGATTTATGGCGGTAGCTAGTGTTATCTAAGTTTCATTGATAAATAAAAAAAAATGTCTACTGGCAAGACAGAAAGAATTCAGGAATTTAAGCTTCGATAATCTTTTGCTCAAGAGATTCTCATCGTGCGGACAATATTTCTTGCTCTTGAAATAAAGCCACTCTGCCGGAGCTGATGAAACAGGTGCTAAAAGATATTTACAGGCTAGGCTAATTTTGACATTTTTGGATGTGCCCCTTCGTTACTCCCCCAATTAAAAGTGTGGTAGGTTTTAAAATTAATAAAGTATAACGTAAATTTATAAGCATTAATCTTTAACGGAAACTTCCTTGCCTTACCCAGATGCTCCAGAAAAAATCACGTTTATTTTATACATATTCTATAATTCAATCATGAATGAAACTATGTCGACCTCTGTGGCCGACACGAGAGGTCCCGTAGCACGGAGAGCGGGAATTGCTAATACAAGTATATATTTTCTTAAAAGAAATTCCCAATCGCAATACAGTATCGGAAATTATTGTATCAAATAAATAAAGAAGAAATTATATTTGTATTTGTGCGTGTTGGAAGTATATTTCTTTATTTATAAACCTTTTCTAAACATCGACAGGTTAAAATCTTTATCGTTTCTCTTATTTCGATAAACTATCGATTATTTTAATAATTATTTTTCACATCCCTACTTCACTTCAAACAACAAACAAGTCAACAATACACTTTTGCTTGCAAATTAACAATTGTTTTCGTTTCGTTATTATTGTTTACGCATATCGATCACAAAGTGCCCATATGAAGAATAAACGTAATTTCACTTGGAGCTGGCTGCTATCGTCAAATTTTAATTTCTAAGAATGTTAAAGTTCTGGAAAAGCTCAGGTAATATTGACATTTATCGCAAATGATATCTATTTTAATTGTATTTATGATGTTTGTAAACCTAATGGTATTGTTGTAGCTAAAGGTAAAACGGGTTGTCCCGTAAGACCTCCAGAACCTGGTGCTAGTTCAAGTTTAACAGAAAATAAAACTTTCTTGGATACGCAACTAGAAGATGTTGAAGGTAAATATTATACGTAATAAATCTAAGCAATGTATCAAGAATAATATACTATAATTTGGAATTACTTTTAACTAATAGTGATAAAGTTTTTACTTTGCATTTAGTGATGAGGTACCTACATAAATACATGTTGAAATTTTAATATTTAACCTTTTTCAGACGAGGTGCACATATTTGAGAAAAAGTCTAAATTATGTTTAAGTTTACATGATATACTCCTTGAAAGAAAATCTGTGAAATACTTTGGTCAGTTTATGGAATCTATAGATAAATATTTGCTTGTCAAATGTTGGCTAGAGCTGGAAAATTTTAAAACATTATTAATCAATACAAATAATAAGGATAAATTTGACAGCCATGTTAAGATCAGTCGAACGAAAAGTTATGATTTCCAGTGTAAATGTGTCCATATGGATGACAAGGATATGTGTGAAAAATATTTTTCTCAAGATATTTCTAATAATATAAGATACAAATTGAGTAGTTCATCAAATTCATGCATGAATCTAGTTGAACAAGCTAATTCAATGTTTGGTAAATGTAGTGAAAATTGTGTGCAAAGCAAATCCAGTATAACAGAATTGGCTATCAACTTATTCAAGAATTATGTGGCATTGGAAGCACCTTTTACATTAGACCTGCCTGATACCTACAGAAAATCGGTAATATCTAATATATGCCATCCTGAAGGAACCATAAAAGAAGATTGTTTCAAACCAGTGCAGGATATTGTTTTCAATCAGATTGAAAATAATTATTTTAAGGATTTTGTTAATAGTCCATTTTATATCAAAGCACAAATTGATATCTTGACCAGCGGCTCTCTTAATTTGAAAGACATTCTTTATAATGATACATTATTGTTCTATTTCACTGAATTTATAGAACAAGAGTCATGTAGACATTTACTTGAATTCTTAATGGCTGTCATGCATTTTAGAAATAATTTGACAAATGGCAATCCTTGTACGTCTAACCAAGCACAAGCAGATGCTATCATTCTTTATGATAAATATTTTTCACTTCAAGCTACAAGCCCTATTGGGTTTCCGCAATATATTAGATTAAAAATTGAAAGTGACATTTGTATAGACAATGGTCCTCATCACACATGTTTTGATTTACCATACAGAATAGTGTTTAAAACACTTTCAAGGTATGTAAAAAGATTTTTAGATTCAGAGTTATATTACAAATATCTTTCAGAAATGATACATTCTGTGGACCAAACATGGTCAGCTAATAATAGAACTCAGTCTGATTGTAGCAGTGAATTCAGTATAAGCACCCAAAACACATTATTGGCTATGGGTGACCCAGTGTTCCGTAAAAAGAAACGAAACCTTTCTGTACCTGACATGACAATAGATTCCAATCAGCTTTACAATGCTGATGCTTTATGGCAAAGAAAAAAGAATGATGGTTTGACTCTTGGAAGAGTCAACAGTTTAGGTAGATTTGAATCTAAGTTTGAACCTGATCCTGATAAGAGTAATAAGTCTGTTTTAAAGAAGATGGTAAGCAAATTTGTGCCAACAGTTACATCAAAAGTAGAAGAAGAGATGGCTTGGCAAATAGCCCACATGATTGTTAAAGATGTAACAGACTTGACTATGGCCCCACCGGAAACTGAACAAGAAGATGTTTAAGTATGATAGTCTATTGATATAAAAGATCTGATGTATATACTTATAAATAAAATGTAAATGTTTCAGTATTATATATTTTTACTAACCATTATATTATTATCATATCGTGTTTAAGTAATATAACACAATACTGTGATATTGTTTGCTTATCTTATCATTGAAATAAGTGGAAATAATAATATATTTTCATATGATGGGGAAATTAAAACAACAATTTGTTTGTATAAAATAAATTCTTCAAAAATACCTTGATGTTTAACTTAGAATTAGGTTCTTTAAAAACTTGTTTAAAATACATAATATACAAAACAGATTACAAACAATCTATAGGGAATCACATTGTGGCGTAATTATTAATACTAGGTGGAACTGGAGACAGTTGTAATCTAGGTGGTTCGGAACCTAGTAGAGGAGACTGCTCGTCGTAAAAATTAAACTCTTTGATGGGCTGACCAAACACATTCTGAACAAGACTACGGCTATAAAAGCTCCATTTTCGGTAAACAAGTGCATTCAAAAGGGCTTGCATTGGATTCATTAAAGCCTGAAAATACAATAAAACCTTTTATGTGTGAACATCATTTACGCGGATCCGGGAAGAACGATAGGGAAATGGTTAGTATGCTTAGTCTAGGATTGAAGAAGTGAAATACTCGCAATATCTGATTATCAGATGAGTGACTAAAATTTTTTTTATTTCCAGCTCTCACGTTGTTGCTCCCGGCTGCATCCGAACACAGCAGTGCACAAAACATTGTCCATGAAAAGGCCTCGAGGCTCAGCTGTCATTAACAGTAGATAAACCATAGAGGTATAAGAATAGAGTGGGGAAGGCGGCTCTAAATGTTTCCGTCTAGTAAAAAGCCAGCTTTTCTTTCTAATCGCGCATGCGCATTGGCAACCGTAAGCATCTTATTATTACGATGTGATGCCATTGGATGCCATGCATCACAAGAGAGAAAGATAGCGGTCTCACATCTTTCTCTTTCTATTACTTAGAGGGACACTTCCACTTGTAGTGGAGTCTATATCTCCCCTACTCTATTCTTAGACCTCTATGAGATAAATGGATGATCACAATGTCAAAATGATGAGAAGTGAAATATATGCAAAATATAGGAATAATAATTTTATCATAATGACATAGTACCATACTTTTAAGAATTTTTGGTACTTCCACGATATACTTACCATAATGTACCATATAGATATGATAACGTTTACAGGCATATTAAACCACATCGTCCACAGAAGTATTCCATTAATAAGATTTGGTAGCCAACATATATAAAAAACAACATTAATGAGTAAGAATTTCAGTCTTAATGCATCCACAACTCTTCTTTCTTTACTTGTGAACTGAAAAATTATCAATATTTAATTTAAATTGTTTAATTACATCCTAATTTGGTTGTAATCGACGCGATAAAATCCACATCATAATATTAATGCGAGCCTGAGACAGAAAACACACAAAAAACTGCTGAACTGTGTTTGATGCATTTTGGTATAGAGGTGCAAAAGACATTATTTGACGTAATTATTAATATTAGAGAGGGTGAAATGGAGGGAGGTGTGACTGAATGTAAGCATATTCGATTATTTTATGCGGACGCAGACGCGAGCACCAGCACCGTCCATCTCTAATATCAATACTTTATTTACTTTTGATTTCTAAATATAATTCCAACAATCACACCAAATAGCCTAACCTCAAAGTATGCACTGTAGGCTTGTGTAATAGGATACTAGGGTAATGGAAAGAATACATATACTGATACATATACACTTCTGGAATCTGGACACATCAATTGGCCCACCTTGTATTTTCAGTTTCGTTTGGTCCTAGCTAAATTTTTTTATTAGGTCGAGCAAAAAGTTTTTATGCAGTTTTGAACCTGGCACATTCACAATTTCATTCAATAGTCTTTTTTTGAATTTCGAACACAAAATTTAAAGAAACTAAAGATTTTTTTTTTCTCTTTATTTACAATTTGGAGCCTATTTGTTGATATCAAACAATCGAATACTAAGAAAACTTGGTTTTATTGGTTTACTTGGATTTAATTCTTGAAAAAGTGATTGATATCTTTGGTTTTGCAACCAACATTACTTATTCTTAACATTAAGGTGAGGTTCTATCAATAATCTATGGATACTTCACCTGAAGTCACCGCCCACGCTGTGGCACTTATTCAGGCCGGACACAGCCAAAGAAACGTGAGTGCTCAACTTAATTTAAGTCGATCTGCGGTCCGAAATGTTTATCGGAGGTAACCTAGAGACTGGCGGCTTTGTTCGTCGCCAAGGAAGGCCACGATCTCGGGTCACAACTGAAAGGCAGGATCGATTCATCATGACGACCAGCTTGAGAAATCGTCACCTTACCTCCATTGAGATACAAAAACAAATTCGCGACTTCCACGGAGTATCTGTGAGCGCTCGAACTGTTCGGAGAAGGTTAAAAGAACGCGATATGGTACCACACAAGCCAGCTAATGGGCCCAAACTAACGCGAGCCCACCGAACAGCGCGCCTTCATTTCGCACGCAGTCATTTAAATTGGACACAGCAAGATTGGAGCCGTGTAATCTTTTCTGATGAGTCTAAAATTGTGTTACATGGCAATGATGGAAGGAAGAAGGTCTACCGACGTAAGGGAGAGCGTTTCGCACAATGCTGCTTTGAAGAGAGGGTTGCTTATGGCGGTGGCTCATGGACTGTCTGGGGCGGTATATCCGCGAGCGGCAAAACTCAACTTGAGGTTGTTACAGGACCAAGGCTGCCAACATTAAATGCTGAAAGGTACATTCGTGAGTGCTTAGAACCTCACGTGATACCATACGCGGACTATGTGGGCCCAAATTTCCTTTTTATGCGGCCGGCATCGTCAGGGAATATCTTCGGGATGTGAACATCACAGTTATGGACTGGCCAGCAATAAGCCCAGACATGAACCCCATTGAGCACATGTGGGACGAGCTAAAAAGACGTGTTAGGGCTCGTCAGCCAGTTGCCCAGACGATGCAGGAGTTGAAAACTGCCATAAAAGAGGAATGGGAGATGATCCCTCAAAATTTCATAGAGCGGTTGATAAATTCTATGCCTAATCGTATGAGAGCTGTGGTAGATGCCCATGGAGGCAACACGCGTTATTAAATTACACCTTTATTTGATAAAACATGTTTTTTATTCAAAAATCAATTGCCTTTAACAAGGCGTATATCCGACTTGTTAGGCGTAGCTCCATGTCGTATGGTATTTTGAATTCAAATTTAAAACAATACGATCGAAAAAGATGGTAAAATGTATCAGGTTTAAAACTGCATCAACAGTTTTTGTTCAATCTAGCAATCATATTTCGGTAGGGGCCATCGAAACCTAAACTCTAAGGTGGACATTGGCCAAGATGTGTCCAGAAGTGTATAAGTTTATTTGTACACTCCCAGACACATCTATTGACCCACCCAGCGTTACAAGCTTCAATGGTATGTACGTATGTATTTTTAAAAACACACAAAAACTACAAAACTGCTTAAAAACTTTTTTTCAATATAGTTAACATTTAGTTTTAGCTAGGGTCCGTCAAAACTTAAAACACTAGACTGATTAAAAATCCATGACTAGAATTCAAATACTCGTATTCATCACACAAACATCTGCCCCCACCGGGATCTCTCGAGTAGGCGACACCTTGAAACCCGTCATACATACCACTCTGCCACGGAGGTCGTACAACAACATAAATACACTTTAAAGTGTTGTCGACAAATCAAATTGTTTAATTAAGATAATCTGTAACTAACTCGCGGAGTCAATCGTCTATAAGGTATATCACGACAAGTGTTCTGAGTGAGACACCAAGATGGCAAGGAAATTCAACCGGTAAGACTACTGGGAACAGTTGGATATTTTCCCCTTTCCTTCAGAGAAGCGAGCCGAGTGCTCTGAGCTACGTTGCCACCGACCTACTGTAACCACGATAATAACGCAACGCAAACGAAATTCGTGACCCGTTTCTCTATACAAATGGCATTCTTTGCTCGCGTTTCGTCTTTTCTACAACTAGTCATTGATAAAAGGCTCATAGAAGCAATATCACAGTCCTAAACTGCTGTCAGATCTCTCTCCTCTCCCGCTCTCTATCCTGGGATAAAAGGTATTCTGTCTCATTCCAGGTCATAAAGTTAAAGTGTACCAAAGGACAATGTTAAAATTGGCCTAAGAACAACACCAATTAGGCATTTATGATAATTCTTAGTATATTTTTTGCGATAATCATCAGTATTTAGATTGTCACGGACACTTCCAGTTAAGTAAGCTAAATTAAAAAGTTAAAAAATAATCTGAGATAATAAATATCATTTTATGTGTATGATCTATGACAGCGCTGCAAACAAAACACTCTTTCTTCCTAATGCCGGCACTTCACTTGGCTATTCGTATTTGATATTTGAAAACATGACATCAGTCTGTCCTTTTCATTTCTTATTAAGCATGACAAGGACAAACTGTTGTCAAGTGAAGGGCCGGCATAAAACTCGATAATCTGTGGTTGTGGTGCAGGCAGTTTGCATTCGTAGTAATCTGTGGCATTCGTGCATTCTCGTTTCGGATTACCTGTTGTGTGTGTTTATTTGCGGTTGTTTTTCCTTTAATTTATCTATTACGGCTATCTATTATGCCATCGATGTTACGAAAGAGCAGAGACCTTATTACCAAGTACTAGTGAATCTGTGCCACTACATCCTGAGAGGATCATACTGCCAAATTATTCAAGAGCACCTGATACACATTGACGCTGCATATTTACACAATATACAAATACATGTGATATACAAATAAATACAATATGATAAAATTATGTGAAAATAGTCAATAAATAAGAAGCAAAACTACAATTTTTATTATATTCATGCTTCCTACCTAACCAAGTTTTTCCTAATAGTTATTCTTTAAAATCGCTCCTAATATAATGAATTAGTTGTAATATTAAATCACTTCATACTGAGTTCATAGGTACTAAGTTCAAAGGTTGACCTATGCTTCATTGAATATGAAACATAACCTCAATTTTTTTTTGTTTTCCTAATAATTTAAGTTCTCAGAAGTGTCCGTCAATAATCCTTGTTTTTACAGTCATTAACTTGCGATTTTGAACCTAGAAAATAATATTTCATGATTGTTGGTTCTTAGGCCAACTATGTATGGACGCAGAACAATGTCCTTTCATACTAATCCCTTCGGCGTTTTGTTCGTGATTGAGAAATCATACGAACTTTCACATTTATTATATTAGTGGGATATTTTTGAAGTGAAAACTTCTTTAGCGGCGTTGTGCACTTTTTTTGTATGGGTAAAAAATGTTAAACTTGCTTCATGACACGTGGGCTGATCGCCCACCTGATCGTAAGACGAAAACAATAAAATTGGAAAGGTTGTTGACTTTCAATATATTGGACGAAACATAGTAATATTTTATTGTATCGTATTATAATAATAAGTTTCTATCTAGGACGTCCAGGTGGTAGCTTTATTGCGAAGAAAATGCATATCTTTTTACAATAGACGTCGCTAGGTGCGCATATAAGATTCATGTAAGTTGATATTGAAGTGAAAACTTCTTTAGCGGCGTTGTACACTTTTTTTTTAATGGGTAAAAATTGTTAAACTCGCGTCAGTACATGTGGCCTGATCGAAAATTTGTAAGACGTAAACAATAAAATTGGAAAGGTGTTGTTGACTTTCAATATATAGGACGAATCATAGTCATATTTTTATTGTATTTTAATAATAAGTCTGTATCTAGAACGTCCTGGTGGCCACTTTGTAGGAAGAAAATGCATTTTTTTACAATAGATGTCGCTAGGTGCGCTTAAATGAGAAATTCTGAGATAGTTTTTAATGTAATATAAATTGTCATGTTTGTGTACGATAGCGCAATAAATAAATATTGTATTCTACCACATAAATGATAGTACTTTTAAGCTGATAATTAAAGAAATTCGTGCAAAATTATTCCCTAACTATCCCAAAATATCAAAAATACACACAATAATACATAAACGTTAATATTCAAGTTTTCACTTCTCCCGGCACTCCCAGAGTGCAACCCGTCGTTATTTTTATTATATGGTAATAGTACACAAGGCTGTGAGTGAAGTGTTATAAATAATATAAATAAATATGTATGCTAAGATCGTAAGCAGATTTGTTTACTTATTTATATAACAGGTTGCCACAATAATAACAAATTTGAACAAAAAGTAATTCAAACCTGGGCTAAAGGTAGTGCAACCGCCATTTCCACATCCTTACTTGCCAGTAGATACATAACCGGGTTAACTATCATAACCATTGCAATAGGCAAATATGTTGCACAGTAGTTAGGTAATATTTTATAAAGGGCACTTGAAACTGAATCCAGGTTGTGGCAACTGAAAAAAGAAATCCAATACAATAACCATGAAATGTTAATTACTCAGTCACTAGTTGAATTTATTGTAAATGATAATGAGGTCATTGACTTATATTCCTTATACAATATAATTCATTAAAATTAAGCTGTTATACTTTACTAAACTTAAGCAAATAAATGATTATTATAATTATTAAATAAAGCTTTTTCCCACGAGCACGCCTCTTCGACGCGACGCCAAGCTTGTCATTAGCTGAATATAAATGCTATAACATATATGCCGGCCACAAGAAGAGACATCATCAGTTACACTAGTTTCTGAAACAGCCCTTTCGGCTGATAGAGTTTTATCACAAAAGTGGGGGTACTTTTACCTACAGCACACATAAAACATTTAATTGAGATATAAAAGAGATGCAGAGCCAGTTCCTTGGTGTTATTAACACTTAATCTTTGCGTTACCTACGTCGCATTTGGTATGTAAAGGATAGATAATCCTATACTCGTAGTAGCAACAGGTACACCCCAGGCTATTGAGTGATATAAGACTGAATGAGAATCATAGCCTTTTATCGTGCGCCAAGTGTCTATAGCATAGAACAATGTCCAAAACCAAGATGCTGTATAGAAATACTGTGTCCATGCCTGAAATAAAGAAAAAAAGGAAACTTAAAAACATAATATGATCTGATAAATAGCTTATATTTATCTCATAAATTATATGTGGTTACTGGTGTCGATTCTGGCACGTTTCTCTAAATCTAAACTTAAATTTGACAACAGTGTATCCTTGTCATTCTCTATACAGAATGAAAAGGAGAGACTGATGTTAAATTTAGTTTTAAGTTTAGAGAATCACCGTAGAATCGACACCAATATGAAATTTAGTTTTTGCAATAGTATTCTCCAAATTGATTTATTTAAATAAAAATTGCGTGAATGTCGGAAAACTCTGTTGAAACAAAGTTAAAAATATTTATATATATACCCACCTATCGCACTAGGCCCACGTGGTGAGTCATGGCCCAATCCCCCTATTTCATATAAAAAAATGGATCCTACCCACCAATCCGCACTGGGGTCGCGTGGTCCATGACCTAATAGTAATATCCCTATCTAACAAAGCCATTTTGCATTTCGTCCCTTTAAAAATACAAATATGTCTTTTTTGAAAAGCCCAAAGAAACAGAGGTTTGCAACCTACATTGTAACATCGCACATTAGACAAAAATAAATATTTACAAATATACATATGTAAAAAAAACTTGGCTAAAGGGTTAAGCATTATGGAAAAGTGAAATTTCACAAAAAACAGCAGAAGCCACAGGTTCATTTTACCAAATAATTAATTTACCTCAATATGTATTACGTCTGTGTCGCTGTGTATTTAAATCTGTACCAAGAAAAAAATTATGAAGATAGATTCTGTCAGTTGGATAATGACATTGATAATATGGTGGCGCAATTTGTGAGTAATATAGGGCAATCGTCATCATCTTCGGTGTCCTCATGTGGTAAAGAGTGCTTACCTAATTTTAAAATCAATCTACGTATATTTTTTTTTTTACTTAATAAGAGTAGTTTATGTTGGAAATAATAATGAAGAATTATATTTCTATTAACTTGTATAATTTGATCCAATTTCAATGTGTAGAAAGTAGACTTACTTACAACGAATAGTATATTCGGCAGTTTACCGAATATTCGGCGAGGCCCCTGACCGAATAGCCGAATATTATGCAAAAGTATTTAGCTCGACTTTAGCGCCAAAAACTTGTACAGACGTGATTGTTTCGCGCTCCTTTGTTTTGTTCTAATGTACTCATCGCCCGCGCGCCCGCTGTTGTTCTGATCATTTCTTAAATATTAGTAATATATCACGTCATGACAAGCCGTATACATGGTGGCAAGCAAGGAAATTTGAATTTCCGTGTTTGATTAGGATTGCAGCAAAATATTTGTCGGCGCCAGGAAGTAGTGTTTATTCAGAGCACCTTTTCTCTGAAGCTGGGATGGTATACGAGAAAAAAAGAAGTAAACTACTTCCTAAAAATGCAGAAAAGTTCGTCTTTCTGCACCATAACCTTCCCCTTCTAAATTTTGATTATGAAAATAATTCAAATGCATAGAAAAATTCTTAACTTGTTTAATACAGAAAATGATTAAATTATGTACCTGTTTTATGTGCATTAAATTATGTACCTGTTTTATGTACTTAATAAATGATTATGAAAGAAATGAGAACCTTACCCTTCTTAATTTTGATTACCACAATAATTCAAATACATAGAATCCTCCATTTTTTTAATTCAGAAGATGATATTATGTACCTGTATTATGTACCAATGACTACTTAAATGATTATATATAACAGAAATGAAAATATGAATATATACGTAATGAATCGATTTTAATTTTTCATTTTACCATTTTTTTTTCTCTATGACAATATATATTATTTAAGTATTCTATATTCGGCCGAATATAATAAAAGCAGCCGAATAGGCCGAATACCGAATAGTAACCGAATATTCGTTGCAAGTCTAGTAGAAAATTACACAAATAATGATAGATAAATAATGATGATAGATGATAATAAATAAATAACATTACACTTCAGAGTATCTGGTAATACACAATATAGGTAATATCAAATGTGATTATCATATTTCTTCATTATACATGATATGAAAAGGTTTCGAAACCCTGCTTCTTTCAGCTACTTTTTTTATGTTATCTGGAATGAGTAGTCTAGTCTAGTAGAAAGATACTGCACTAAAAAAGCTTTCTCATCATTCTGGGAAAATTTTAGAAACTACATCTGACAACAATAACGCCCTTAGGTGGGAACCAAAGAACATAGAAAGAGGTTAGAAGGGTGATCATAGACCGTTTGTATGAGAACTGATGTTGCCGGCTCATCCCCACTACACTTCCACCTAATATATAATAGCCAATGAAACGATGCGACATAAAACAATCAAACCAATCAGCGCTCACTTCCTAGAGCAACGTCGCAATCAGATCCAAGTTTTGGTCAAGTTATGAGCATTTGCTCACACATAACTATGGCGCACCTGCCCCGCCCACAAGGCCCTTCTAACCTCTCTCTGTTTTCTGTGGTGGAAACCACTGACAAAAATCAAAATAGTATGGGAGCTACTTCAATCTAGGTCTGTCTGTAGCGAACCTTAAATTAACCTTACATATGCAATCAGCTGAAGTCTTGTCTATTAAAGCTACTTTTCAATATAGCTTGTAAAACTAAAGTTTTTTTTTTCATAAAAATTTTATCTGTCTTTTTAACACGGAATAATTAGGGTCAATTCACAACCAGAATGACAGCAGCCAAAAATAAAAGTAATTCTGTAAACTATGAACTTATATACTTTGATAATTGTATGCCTTTATCATGCACAATAGATGATTAGGGAAGATGCAATATTTTTATTTTTGTTTTCTTTTTAAAGAATTCCATGTAGAATAAACCACAGATATATAAAAAAATTAAAACATTGTAATTTATTGGAAAAAAATGAGGTTTTAAATTGACAGTTTAAATTTTCGCGCGAAAACGGACCTATGGTTCCGATGACGTCACTCCTGTCTGTCACTGGTCGTACTTGTTCGTCGCTGACTTTCAATTTTCATACTTTTGCATATTTTTTCGACTTTCGAGATATTTTTTTGTAAAAATTTAAATTGGACTATCCATCAACATCAGGTGATCATAACAATATCTCTAATATTCCGAAAAAAAGCCGTGTTGACTCATGTTTTGTGCCATCTACTTCAACAAAATTTCCAAATAAATTGTTTTTGACTTTTGATTGAATTAATTTAATTGACCCAATACTGAGAAATAAGTGGTTTCAAGCTGCGAAGAGAAATGACAATTATTCTCCAAAGACCATTATTCGATGCCGTGAAGATCACTTTGACGTAAGTCGGCGAATATACTTATTATATCCTTAATTAATCTCCTTGTACGTAAAAACGCGTTAGTAACCCACCTCATACTTTCAAAACCTGTCTATAACATATTTTTAATTTTACTGTTGGAGAATGACGCCGAAAACAGGATAAAGTTTAAAATGTGTGGCACACTCTACACATAGGCAGGACTGAACTAAGCTTTGCGTTTCATTTAAAATAACTGTAACACGATAACCTTCTTTACGTACTTTATGCTCCGGAGTCTCGACTCTACTTTTTACTGTACATAATAGGCTAGTTTACTCATGTCGAATTGTATTAAATAAATGTTTATTTCTTAAAGTGTTTAGTCTAAGGAACCTTAATATATCGATTTCACTTCATAAAAGCAGAAGATTGCTGTAGAAATTTAATTTAAAAAAATATTTTTTAGTCTATATTTTTTAAACACTAAAAACGCTGTTCGCCCTTGTTCGCCACATTCGCCATGATTTTGACGTCTCTTGTGGTAAACAACTAAATGTCATTCGCGTGTTACTGTAGGTGGATTCTTTCGTCTGACTAAATTTATCTTAAAACACTTTTAACTTTAGGAAAGAAAAAAACAGTAAACTTAGTTTTTTTGACTAAACAAGTTATGGATGCCGGCTTTGTGAAAGCAGAAAGCACAAATCTGCCAAGAATTGACGCATTGATGGTTGGTGAATTTGTTGCACTAAACCCCGATTTCTGCTCTGCGGAGCAGAGAAACGACAGGGCATCTATATAAGTACAGTGCATTTAGTATTACAATGTAGTAATAAACATAAAACTGATACAACATATGAATAAGTATAATAAAGTTGCGTAGGTTAATTTCTTTCGGCACTTTAATCCACAACTTTCCTGGAGTCTTCTAGGATGTGTTTTTATATTCTCGTACAATACAGTAATGATAATTACTTTATTTTTCGTGGTATTTATTAGAAATCATGTTTTTTTTTATTATAAACTCAGTTAAAAGTAATTTTCTACGTGTTTACGAGTTTTTGTTTACCACAGTTCACGTCATAGCATAGACAATCTATAGACTAAAATGGCCGACAGCGTTTTTATATGTCCATGAAAAGTCTATTTTAAAATTAAAGATTTGTAGCTTTCTAGGTTTAAAATAAATACAATACATTTTTTTCGGTCTAATAGAACATTTATTAACCATTTAAAACCTTTTTCCAAAAAGGGTTAACTAGCCTATTCTCCATCTTTTTAATTTGGACATAGCCGGTTGCGTTATCGCCGTAGGATTCTCTTGTTGGCTGAAATAACTGCTATGTGTAGAAGCTGCTGAATAAAATACAAAGTTTAACAACTATGATTTATACATACCGTAGTAATTTAGTCCCTTTCATTTCTACACTTGAAAACTCTGTACTTTGGAAAAAAAAAGTTACAACCATGTCAACACAAACTTTTGGTGAATTCCTGGAGTCTGCTTAAATAAACCCAACTTCCATTTTTATCAAAAAACGCAATTAATATTCTCATAAAATAATATTCACTTTTACAACCATAACTTCAAATAAGTTGTCATAACAGGAGTAACGTCACTTAACGCTGATTGGTGTTTTAAAATAGGTTATTTTCAAGTAATTTTTAATTCGTAATTATTGTTAAAAAACAACATTATGTAAAATAAAAAAGTTTCAGTAGCCTTTCTTTTATATTTTTTTAACATTTTAATCATAAAATTTTCATAAATATTATATTTGCATCTTCCCTATTTAGTTTTATGTTTAGAGTATTACGATACTCTACCGTACCAGACTTAGATTCCAATATAATTCTAGCTAAGCTGAATAGATGCGTATTTGAAATTATATATAATATCATATTATATTGTTTACATGGAAATATAATTACAGTGGTTGTTAAAACTTACTGAAATTATGCTGCAAAACAACACACTCATGTCATCTTCAGGCATTGGCATTATGTTTTTAAATTTCAACCATAAAGAAGAACGAAGCAGAACTCCTGAAATATGTATAAAATAATAAGTACTTAAATTATAGCTGATTGAAAATACATATTTATCTTTAAAGGACCCCACACAATAGTGTCTTTCGGCTGCCGACTCCTCATTGACTTTTTGGTTTTTAATAAATTTAAGTTTTACCATTATATTATTTGACTTAGCAAAATTTCCAAAAAAAAATTAAATTAACTTAGTATTCCTACTTGTTTTCGGCATCATAAGATTTTACCTTTTGTTCCGTGCAGATGTTTTATTTGCAAGTACACTTTTTTTTTATTTAGGTAGGATTTTTATGTCGTGTTTTATTTTGTACAAACTTATTTAAGTTAGTAATATGGTTGTGTAGTGTTTCTGCATGTTTAGATTTTTGTTTTATAACACTTTGTTAAGTGTACAAGTTTGTGTAAGTATGTGACCCGGATTTGACATTTTGGGATCCCCAATTTTTTTCTTGGATTTGACATCCTTGGTTTTGGCTTTTTCTTGTTCAACATTGTATTTTATTTGCCCACATTTATGAACATTAATTATTTGTTTTTGTGCTTAATGCTCCGAAGTTTGGTGGAGTTGTGCCACCGGTCATGGAGTTGCAACTTTTGTTTTGAGTGCTTTATGCCCAGGAAGCCGGTGGTGTTGAGTCGGCCATGAATGTCACGTTTTGGAGCTTTTGCCATTTCTTTTTGTTGTGTTGACTTTCGTCACTACATTTTTTGTCGAACTGTTTGTTCTCGATGATCCGATCATGATTGTGACTTAAAGGTCGGTACATATCTAACGGAAAATGCGTCGAGCGTGTCTTCGTTGTATGCTCGACGCACTAACGCATCTTCGGTTAGGTGTGAAAGGTTGAATGTTATAATGTATATTTGCCTGTTCTGGCGTTACGCAACTGATAATAATACGCGACGTATTTTCCGTCCGATATGTACCAACCCTAAATAAGTTAGTGCTAATTTTGCCACTAATCTCGAACTTTGTTTTGGAAATTTAACTATATATAATATATAGTACTTGCTACTTTTTAGTATGGCAGTACTGGGGGCCAATCGCCTAGCGGAAATGCTTTGGAAAACGCTAACGCTTACGATTTTATTTTGTTATTTCTAGCCGCCTGAGGTATTCAAATGCCTCGCGCTCTTTCTTTTTCTTTTGCATTGGTAATAACAATATTAAAAAAAATGAGCGTGAGCTATTCGAAAACCTCAGGCGCCTAGAAATAACAATATAAAATCGTAAGCGTTAGCGTTTCCCAAAGCATTTCCGTTAGGCGATTGGCCCCCTGGAGTGTGATTTTAATAGTTGTTTTATGTCTGTGACCTAGCACGGTTTCCAACTTAGGGGTTTTTCCCCCAGATTTAGGGGCTAGAAGTATTAAAACGGACTTTTTTAGGGGCTGGAATTTTTTGAGGGTTCTTTTAGGGACTTTTATCAAAACTTGCAATTAAATCGAAAAACAAAGCGTGTTTTCTTTCAGTTTTGTGCGTAGAATGGAACGCACAACGATATGAAACGACTGAACTGACTGTGTAGCGGGATGTTTCCTAAGGCTGTATGGACTAAAATTAAAAAATAGCTAAATAAGATTAAACAGCCTGTCAGCTTATTTTCGTTTGATTGTCCTTTCGGAAACTGTATTTATTCAGTAAAATAGTTTACTGTAATGAAATATGTAACGTTTATATTTATGAGCAACGAAAGAATTTGGGTAATAAGCAGGTACTTAAAAAATGTATATTTAGGGGATTTTAGGGGAATTTAAAAAATACTTAGGGGAAAATTTTGGTAAGGGTTGGTAACACTGTGACCTCGTAGTTTAACCAGTGTTGCCAGGTCTCCAGATTTTACAGGAGATCTCCTGTTTTTCTGAAATTTCCCCTGTTCTACTGTTTTTCTACATGAATCTCCTGTTTTTTTAGAATACAATTTTCTTTTTTAAATTGCATGTTGAGTTGCATTTTTCGTCATAAATAATGTAGATAACCTTAATAATTATAAAATTAAATGTAATTGTCTAAAGAAACCTCAAAAAATAGCTTTGAGGGGCGGCAGAAGCCACAGAAACACATTCGTTACTGGTCTTTATCTTGATTTGATTTACCAATTCTAGGGGGGGGGGGGGGGGGTGCAAACGTGTGGAAAAAGTACGCCTCTGCATCTACTGTTTTTCTTGTTGATGTTCCATACATCTACTGTTTTTTTTCTATAACGCCTCCCGAACGACCTGGCAACACTGAGTTTAACAGACTTTCAAAAAATAGTATTAAGTAGGTTGGGAAATTTTAGAGTCTGCGACTTAAGTGTCTAACAGATCTCTCGAGGGTTTATTTAGAAGCAGTTTTAATTTAGGAAATTTTAGAGTCTGCAACTTAGATGTCGAACAGATCTCTCAAGGGTTTAGTTTTGGAGGAGGTTGAATTAAAAGATTTTTAGAGCCTGCGACTTTAACATCCAACAGATCTCAAGATGAATGATGATGGTAGTTGCATATTTTTTCTACTATTTTGAAGGCGCTTTGCATGCTTTTATTTTGGATCATATTGCTTTAGTTTTTTTTTAATATTTCTTTGGGTCTGTGACTAATTTAGTCTAACAACACTTGATTTGAGACATGTGACTTTTCATCCAAGGACTTCTAATAGTTAGATGTTGTTTTGGTGTTCGGATAACTTTATGGGTAGTTATTTTCTTTTCATTTTGGATTCTGCTTATACCCCCTTTGCTATTATTAGTTCAATGCTCTTCCCGGGAATCTATTGAGGTAGCTGGCGCCCAAGTACATTATTAATTTTATTTCAACCTATCCATATTGATTTAAAACACAATTTTTGTCTGTACCACATAAAACTCATCTGTTTTGATTTTTTTTATATGACATCACGGACCTGAAAAAAAGACGGACGTAACCTCGTCTTAGCGCGAGTGAAGCATGCAAATGGCCGCCCGCTTACCGCGTGTGCGTGATTTGAGGGTTGACGGGTAAATCATCAATTTCCCTACTTTTTAAATCTGCTAAACTAAAACATTGTTAACATTATGTAATCAAATATATATTATAATAACGGGATATTTACCACGTGTTTTACTCGTTGTGAGCTCCCGATTTTTCTGTAATTCATTTTGTAATAATTTTGGTTGTCGTAATTTAGTTTCAAAAGTTTATTTGTATAGGTAGTAGTTTTGTTAACGGGTTTCAACTGTATTTTAAATATTTTTATACATTTTCTACCGTTTCGGATTCTTTACAGGCTCCGGTTTGAACGAAAACCAAACAAAGTGTGCACTGCACACAGTACTGGAAGGTATACCGAACCTGAATAATTAAAACCCAGTCATCTCTACGGTTTTTATTTCTAGGAAACCTATTAGAAAGGAGACAAGACAATAATTTATATAAAATATTCTATGAATAATATGGCTTCTATTCTTTTCCTTTTGGGATACGGAACCCTAAAAAGTTACGAAATCTGATCTTGCCTAGTCACAAATGCAAGAAATACAAAATTCCCTACTTTTTGGGGAAATTTCCCGTAAATAAAGTAGCCATACAGTTATATTTATGTTTACAATTTTCATCCTTGTAAATAAAATATAATTTAGAATAATTATCAAGAATCGTCAATACTTAAGCGTGGTAGGTGATTCCTTGTGACTTTTCAAATTTACTCGTGTAGTTTTTACAAGGTTTCTTCACCACACAAACGGCATTTTTTTTTTTAAATATCGGAGCAATTGAACGTGTGACCGGCGCGGCGCTGTCACGCGGGGTCAAATGGCAGCGAATTGTCCGACCTGGTGCATTAGTGTGAGTGTAGGTAGTGTACAACACACGATTTTGTCCGACCTTGCATGCTTCACATGATTTGCCTTTGATATTACGTCCGTCTTTTTTTCAGGTCCGTGTATGACATGTATAAGATTAACAAATTGTGTAAGACAGATCGAATATAGTAAATAAAAGGCTTTTTATTTTATTTATTACTAGCTGACCCGGCGAACTTCATACCGCCTTAGCGTAGCTTTGATGCACTACTTTATTTTGTATAGCTGACCTATCTTATGTATGAGTACCTATTTAATTTGAACCGTCATTTTGTCAGCGCGGTTATCGATGTGGTGTCACAGATTACCACAGATTATTTGTTTTAAATTGAATGACGTTGACATTCGTTACGTTATATTTTTCAATCTTTCTGAGAGATTTCCTTTATATTGATTTCCGTAAGAACCTTGTACAGAGTATTAGAAAACTACAAAAAATAATCAGCCAAATCGGTCAAGCCGTTTTCATGTTATGTCGTGACAACGGAAAATGGGTTTCATTTTTATATATATAGATTCTGCCATCTTTCGCAATCGACAACTCACGACACGCATGCATGTTTGCCATTCACTACAAATCAGTGACATACTAGATACTTATAGATATCTAATAGAAAAAAAAACTGTGGGAAAATAGCATAACACAAAGCGAAACAGAAATTATGCTTGTGTTTATGCAAGGCGACAGTAGAAATACGGTATACACCCCAGCAAACTTCTTGAGCAATAACCATAGATAATGAAGCCTAAACAGTAGCAATTTTACATACAAAAACGTCTACTGCACAAATGTATTTTTCTGTTTTGCTCAAGAAGTTTTCCGCTACCTCTAAGTGTGTAACAAAAGCATAGTATTCATTTCAACATGAATAAAATAATGATATAAATGTTAATCTGCTGGGCTGGACATGTCTGCCGCCTTACAGACAACAGATGGTCTATAAGAGTGACAAAGTAGACAGGACCCACAGGAAAAAGGAGGGTAGGCAGTCCATTCAAACAGTGGGCAGACGATATTGATAGCATAGCCGGGAGAACTGGACCCAAAAAGCCAACAACAGGGACGCGTGGAAGGAAATGGAGGAGGCCTTCACCCTTTCAGGGGACCATAATTATTAGTATACATATAAAGTTAAAAAAAAGAAGTTTATGTTAATTTAATTATGGTAAATATAAAGGG